GGATCATTTCACTTTATCAAGATTATAGAATTCATAAATTAGAGTGCTGATCTTTAAAATCTGCTTACACTTCTTTAATGTTAAAAGAACTTTGTGATATACATATATATAAAATCAAGTTAGGTTACTCTGACTTAATGATGATGATAAAAAATAGACTGATGATTCTCTATACACGAGAATACAAAATCTAGTGTTAAGTTTAAAAGAACATAACATAGTATGCATTTATTTTTTCTCCTCTCTACTAGGTTGTAAGTTTGCTTACTTTGGTCAGTGCTGTATCCTTATCACACTGGAAAGGACTCAGTGCACAGGTTATCATTAAGTATTTATTTAATAAATGGCTAATGAGTTGTGAAAGTAGGAGAAGATGTCTTCTCTCAAACTAACCTCATGTTCAAGATGTTTAGTAAGAAGTTTAACCTTACCTTAATTAAGCCCTTAGCCTGTGGGGTAATGTCTAAACTTAGTGGCACACCTGATAGGAGGAAGACTTTGTTTGCCTGGGGTGGGGGTTGGGTCATTCTGAATAGTCTAACAATGTGATTCACATGGAAAGTTTAGGGTATGCATTATCAGCTTGATGATGACTCAAATCAGTCACATGGGCAGTCAACCATGCCAAGGTGATGGAGTCACAATAAACATTTTTGACATCAAGAGTCATTCAGATTCCCTGGTTAGCAATACTCCACTATATAGTTACACTGTTGCAGGAAAAGTAACACAGTTCACAATTTCATGGGGACAGGATGACTCTAAGTTCCATATTTGGAACTTTCAGAAACTATGTAATCTCCATTTTTGGTTGATTTCAATCTATATCCTCTGCTACGCAGTTCTATATTTGGACTACAATAGTTTTCAGTGAGTTCCAAGGTTTTCTTGTGAATTATGAAAACTAAAGATGGCCTTGGAGACTTCTGAACTTTAGAAATATCAGAAGTGAGGATGGGCATATGGAACGCTCTACAGCTTTACACAATGTCTACCTCCTTATCAAAGTAGCTGTATTTCTTCTAATATGAAATGTGGAGGCTTACAAAGTATGGTGAAACACTTACTATAAATAATGCTTATTAGTGTGGCCATACTTCTGATTTTTGGACTTGCAGTTCAACTTAAGCATGATACAGACAATGACTCTTCAAATTTCTATTCCCATTTTTTTCATTTTTCAAATATCAAGATTTATAATATCAAATCAAAAGAGAGATACAAACACAGACAACTTAAAGATGTATAAGCTTATATTTTATTTAAACTTTCACGTTGCCTTAAAAATTTTAGAAATTAAATAGGTATGTATAAGTGTATTACAATTTAAAAAATTTTTCTTTTAGATGGAAATGTCATTATCAGCTTTGTTACTTACTGAATCCTTGAGATAAGCTTCTAATACTCCAGTTCCATCATCAAAAGTAAATGTCATAACAAATACATACTCAAGGGGTACAATACCTAGTACTAGTGAAGGAAAAAAATGAACAAAAACAACCCATGAGTCTGCTATTCCTTATTATCAAGGAAAAGTCAAACTTGTTTTATTATGTATTAACATATAAATATTGTTTACTAAAATACTTCAAGAGATAAAGAAACTTTCATATTCAACTTTTGCTCTCTAAAAGCAAAATATTAAGTTTATTTAGCAGGTTTAATCTGGAACATTCCACAGTATTTACACAGGGATAATGTCTTATGCTATTACAGCAATGGAATCTTTCCTTAATCATTTTTATAATGTATCTTTAAAATGAGAAATCATAAAGTATAAATCATAAAGTATTTCATAAATTGTAATACACTGCATTTAGTCTTCTGAAAATTAAACTAAAATAGCAGGATTAAAAAAATAGAATGCAGTTCTTTTTTTTTTTTTAACATGCCACTCCTGTTTGTATTGTAAGTATAAGGGATCGCTTATTATGTTTTAAGGAATATTATCTGATTGAATTAACAAAAATCTCAGAATCTGGGATTTCATCATGATGAAAAGATGAAGAATAAGAAAGATATTAAAGACACAAAATCATGTTTGTATACGGAAATGAAAGATACTCAATATGCTTACATACCTTAGCTTCCATCTACAGAACCCATATTTAAACTGTAGGACTAACTGTACTAATCAAGTAGGCAAATAATAAATCAGGGCACACAGACATGAATTTAAGCATGTAACAGATATTATTATTACAGAGGAATTGATTTTCAGGTTTCAAAAGGTCTCAAATAAGTTAGAATAGTTAACTAAAACCAAGAAGGAACAACTTAAACTTACGCAGAAGATCTACAAAAACAAACAAAAAATTGCATTAAAAATATGATAGAAGTCAGTACGGTGGCTCCTGCCAATAATTCCAACTACTCAGGAGGCTGAAGCAAGAGGATCAGAAGTTTGAGGTCATCTTGGACAACTGAGTGATACCTCGTCTGAATGAATGAATGAAACAAAGAAACTAAAGTGTCGGAGAGGAGAATGTAGCTCAGCATGTCCTTAAGGCCCTGAGTTCAATTTCCAGTACTGCCAAAACAAACAAACAAACAAACAAAACAACAAAAAGAATGATGGGAAGACCAAGCCTGACATCAAGAAGTTCAAAGGAAAAGCGTGTGTCGGTCGGCATTTTTTTCCCGGGAGCGTATGGGGCATTGGCGGGGAGTTTAAAAATAAAGTTTGTTCCTGTTTGAGTGGCTCGTGATTTTGTGCCCAGCCAGACTGCGGCAGAAAACAATATGGAATTTCACTAGAACACAAATAAAATATGAGATAGCAGTATCATACATCTGTATTACAAAAGGAACAACATACAACTAGGTATAGAAATAAATATCTAATCACTAAAAATTTGGCTAGTAAAAGCTAAGTGTCCAGTTTTAGAGAAGCTAAAACTTTTCATTATATTTGAAATTGGCTAGATGTCAGCAATCCTGCATCCAGCTTTGAATGTCAAACCCCAGTTAAGAACTTTGGCTAAGTAGAATGTTTACTGAGGAGGAAAAACAAAATAGTAAGACATGTGGAGAAGTACTAGAGAAAATGAGGGTGCCTGCTTGAAGAAATAAGATTCCAGAGGCCTGACAAATATCTTCAAATGTACTAAGTCTGTTTATCTTACAGAATAGGAAATAGACGTGCTCAATAATTCTAGTAGACTGAATGGTGCATATTAAAAGTTCTAGGTAGGGAGATTTTGCTTCAATGTTAAAAGTGTCTAAACCCGGTGCAGTGGTGCTGCCTGTAATCCCAATGGCTCAGGAGGATTGCAAGTTCAAAGTCAGCCTTAGCAAAAGCAAGGTGCTAAGCAACTCAGTGAGACTCTGTCTCTAAATAAAATACAAAACAGGCATGGGGATGTGGCTCAGTGGTCAAGTGCCCCTGAGTTCAATCCCCTGTATACTGCCCCCTTCCCAGCAAAAGTATCTAGTACAGGCTGCCTTGAAATGTAATGAGTACCCTGCCATTGAAAGACTTAAACAAAGGCTGGATGACCATAGTTAAGAATTCAATTTGAAAAGATTCTTTATATTGGGAGAAAGTTGTTAATTGCTCTAAAACCCTTTCCAATCCCAGAGCACTTAAGAGCTGAAGTGATTTTTCAGAACCTGTATTTATGATCAGTGACTAATGAGAAAACAAATTATTGATAATTAAAATTTGCATTATGATGAAAAATATAGGATGACACTCTTGAAATGTACTTGCAAGTGTATTAAACATGTAGACTATATTTTAATAAAATCACTGTAAATGATTTCCCTTAAAAAAAGTTAACCTAGTTCTGCCTTTTATATTCACAAACGCTAAAATATACATCAGTGAGATGATCTTATACAGGAATAGTTAAAACTGTACGACATGGAAATTTAGCTAACCTTCTGCCACCGAAGAAGGAATCCATGATGTTTTATCGATAACAGAATTTAGATTTTGTATGGGTCTCAAATTAGAACACTGTTTACATCTGAAATTAATAAAAGAAAAAGTTGTGAATATTTAAAAGTAATTTAATTATTATTATAACATTTTTGCTGCTTAAGTACATATAAGTTTAGAAGGTAAATTATTAAACAGAAGAGTACTGTACTACCTATATTGTAATGTACTTATTTCAAAAGGGCATTAACAAAAAATAAGGCTTTTTTTTTAACATAAAAGCAATAAAAAAGATACATGGGGATCAAAATAAGCAACTCTACTTTGAGAACTGAGGAATGAATTCCAGATGCCAATCATTAATTAATTTGACTCTTAATTTCATAATATTAAAAAGTTGAAAGAGATAATTTCTAAGAATTCTTTTGATTTTATAGCAAGCAGTCAGGATTAGATACTAAAAAAAATAAAAAGAATACTAATTAAATTACAAATAATCACATATAGAGGTTTATAGTTTATGATGCCTAATACTACAGTTCTCTTTTAAAATGTAAAAATATCTAAACTTATGTTACTACTAAAGTTGTACACTATTTAGAATAGACATTTTGCTTTGCTTATATACCACATATTTTAAGTTTGAGTAATTCTTTTTTTAATCACACATCACCATATATTTATAACATATGATAAGAAAATATACTTGAATAAAAATAAAAATTCAGATTCAAAAGATTCCTTTTATTTTCACTTTGGGGCAAACAGGGTAACTGTATTAAATTTTACCACCTAATCATCAAATACATAAATGATTCTTTTTTTTTTTTTATTTTTTATTGTTGGTTGTCATAAATGATTCTTAACTAACTAAAAAGACAGCTGAATGAAATAATAATATTGTCTAAAATAGGAGTCTGAAATATTAATTAGATTGTGACACTGATAAAGCAAGTATACTAATTAAAGATTTATGGAAATAAGTCAAAATAAGAGAACTTATTAATTCCAAATCAGTAAAAGGTGAAAAAGGACAAAATTTGGAACATTTAAGAAAATCAATTCAACAAAAAGACTTGAAACATTTTTAAAGAAAGTAAAAATATACTAAAAATGTGCTAAGTAGAAAATAATAAAAATGAAAAGATATATACTACATACTAATAATTAAAATGTATTTAAATTCATCTGCTAAGGATAACTAAACAATTTGTGACATATTAAAACTGGATGACACAAACTTGAAAACAGAATTAGATACTAAAATAAGTTGAAAACAATAAAAAAATATTAGCAAAAACAAACCTTAAGGAAAAAAATTGTGGTTAGAAATGTTTTCCTTTTGTAAGGACCAATAATACTCAACTAAATGAACTCAGAAAAGAGCCTCAAAATATATATAGCAAATGGTAACAGAATAAAGAGACTCAAAATCACAGAGGATGTTTACACACATCTTATAAGAAAATGTTTAAATCAATAAAATCACAAAAGAAACAGAATTTTTTATTATAACTAATACGCCTGATCTAATGGACAAATTAAACTCTAACTCAACTATTAAGTAATGTACATTTATCTCAAAACTTGAGATAAATCTATGGCTATATTCTCAGGAGGAAATTTATAATTATAAATGTTAAAATATATTAAAAATTAATTAGTTGAGGCAAGCATTAAATATAGAATGTTTGAAAAACTAAGGAGACCTAAAGAAGTAAAGGAAGACAAAGAGCAGTAGTACAATAATAAAGAGGATGATCATGAACAAAAGTCAGCTGTTTTGACAAAGAAAACTCAAGGAAAAAAAGAGAGACACACAAACAATATTAAGTAGATGCAACAACAAAGCAGATATTTAAAAAGAATTTGAAAATATAATCAACAATTGTATGTCAATAAACTTAAAAAATGAAATGAATACTTCTCTAGAAATATTTCATTAACAAAATATAAATACTTAGCAGATATATAACCATTAAAGAGACATACTGAACCATTAGCTTAAATCTTTTTTAAAAAGGATCATGTCCAGACAACATAAAGAAAGCTTTTAAAAACTTTTATGGGCTTGGGAAAGCATTTTGGCAAATATGACTATATTAATATTTTAAAACTCCATAAAACAAAGGAAACCATGAAATTAGAAAGATATAGATAGCACTGTTAAGTATGTAACTGACAAAATATTAGTATTTCTACTACAGAAGAATATTTACAAGCAGTTGCATGCACATGCACAAATTTAAACTAAAAAGAGAGTGGTAATCACATAGAAAAGCAGGCAAAAGATGTGAACTTGGAATTGATGGAACAGAATACTGAAATAGTCAATAAACATATAGGTTGTATAAACCCAATAATCATCTAGAAAATACAAGAAAATACATATACACCATTTGAAGTCTAATAAAGTTATAAGTTAGATTTACACCAATTCATGGAGAGAACATAATAGAAATTGAAATTTTTATATACTACTGATGAGACCATTAATTGTTAAAAGCATTGAACAATTCAGCTTTTTTCCCAAAAAAGCAAAAAATATGCTTATCTTATGACCCAGTAATTCCAGTTCTAGGTAAACGACTTAGTAGTCACTTTCAAACTCTTTTGGCAAGGACCCATAGTAGTAAATTCATTTTAGATTATGTCCTGGTATGTATCCCAGTATATATCTAAAAAAAAAAAAAAAAAAAAAAAAAAGTCTAAAAAATATCTAAAATATATAAAAAAACTAAAAAAACAAAACTGCTGCTCATGATCACTGAAATGATTTTATGACAAAGAAAATGTGTAACAGGTGATGATTTAGTATTGTCATCTTTAAATTAAATAGCATATACCAATTAATAGGAAATAGATGAATAATTACGATATGTTGATAGAGTACAGATAGTAAAATAACCTAAATCTATACAATCTACATGGATAAGTCTTGAAAACAACATTGAATTTTAAAAATGCTGCATATGAGAAGGCATGGTATATAACAGTTTACACACATTTAAAAAACACAAAAAATAATAAGATATACTGCTTACGATGTTCATATATTAAAACAGAAGCATCAAAACATGCATGAGAAGGACTGACACAACTTTGGAAAAATAGTTACCTGTGAGAAAAAAGGGTTAGAGAAGGGTCTGTTATAAGGACATATTTCTTCTCTGTAAAATACCAATTCTTAAATGTAAAGTCTGAAAAATGCTAAAATGCTAATATCTGCTAAATCTAAGTAGAGGGTACATAAGTGTTGTGACTTTTTTTGATATTTTTGTAAGTTAAAGTTATTTTATAATTAAAGATAAAAAGGAAATCAATTAAAAGACATGTTGGCTTTTGCTGCTGATATTCAAGTAATAGAAAATTTAAAATATCTTTAAAATTTAACATGTAAACAAAATTTCTGTATTGGTTCATGCTGAAAGTGGTGAGAAAAGCTGACATCCTTAAAATAACTTTTATAAAATAGAATACTGGTAAATTAACAAATGACATTCTAGAGTTCATAACTAATATCTGCTTTCCAAGTTTAAGAGTAGTCAATTACCCTATACAAGGAAGTCAAGTCAGAAGAAGGGCAAGAGAGAGAAGAGGTGTGTATGAACACACAAACACAGACTCACACACCCATAAAACAAAACAAATGGAAAATCCCATGTTAGTGATTTCATTCAAGAAGAAACATACAGAACATAAAAGGTTTTGATTGTTGAATTAACTGGTGGATAAATCTTGAAGATGACTCTGAGGTCATGTATCTAGTGAGAGATATAAAGATATTGGGCACATCAAGGTAAAAATCAATATTAACCTAGGCATTTAATTCAGTGGTGCAAATAATTAGTTCCACTTTATGACTGAAGCATTTTGATGTATCTTATAGGGGATAGAACCTGGGGGATGCCTACCAGAGACTCCAAGTTCTCAATCTGGGAAACATGATAACTGCAGTAAATAATTTTTCAATGGAAATCAAGATGTAGCCATTTTTAACAATGACTAACAATTGCTACAAATTTAGGAGTAGGACAAATAGATAGTACAAGATTCATCCATCCTAAAATCCAAGGTCTCAAAGCAGGACATTTCCATGGTGATTGTTTTTTTCAAGCAGCAGGTGGCATTTTTATCTCTATGCTTTCCTTATAAACCTAGATATCTCTTTATATATCATAATGCATTCTTTTAATTTTTAGTGCAATCAAATTTTTAATCTAATGTCCTGGCAAATCTGGAATTCAATCACTTATTATTAAGTTTGCAGCACTGAAATTTTCTCTGTAGCTATTATCTAAATCTTTGTGAAAGAAAACAAGTATCTGCATCTGAGGAAAAAAAAAATGTTGTAGGCTTATACTTCAAACACTGTGTGCTTAATATATAATGCTTAATAGAATAGAAAAATCTAGCATAGATAATCCTTGATCTATTTTGGAGTTACATCCTAATAAACCAATTTTAAGTTGAAAATACCTTAAATTGAAAATGCATTCAATACATCTAACCTAGAGAGCATATAGATTAGCAACACATTCCGCTGCAGAGTGTTAGTTGTTTACCCTCTTGATCTTGTAGCTGAGAACTCCAGCTTGCTACCAGTGCCCAGCCCTGTGAGGGGAGTACTGTACTCATATGACTAGCCCAGGGAAAAATCAAAATTTACTGAGTGTGTGTCACTCCAGCCATTGTAAGTTGGGAACCATCTGTACAGATAAGTTGGTACTAAGTATCTGCTAAACATATACTAGTGCATGGGACAAAATACTAACAATATAGTTTTTCATTCCAAAAATTCTCTGGGTTGAAAACATACCCGTAGTAAAACACTTTTCCTTGTATAAGAAATGGTGCTGAAAGATCTAGGAGTTCCAGGTCTTCAGGGCCAGATCTCACAGGAATTACACTATGAAACTTGTTTGAGAGTTTAAATATTTCACCAAGCATACCTCCTATTAAAAAAGAATAAATTAGCCATCCAGGTTTATTAAATAAGCCATATCAGGTTTATATAATGAAGGCAAAATGGAATACTTATTAAGTAACACATGAGATACAGTAAATACTAAAGAGATTAACAGAAAAAAATAAAGTCATAAATTTAGAGATTTAATCACTCATGGTAAAAAATATTAATCCTATATATTAACAACATTATACAAAAATCCTATATATATAACAACATTATACAAAATTGTTGGGACTTAGTCATTGCCATGGCACATGCCTATAATTTCAGCGGCTTAGGAGGCTGAGGCAGGAGGATCATGAGTTCAAAGTCAGCCTCAGCAACTTAGTGAGATCCTGTCCCAAAATAAAAATTAAAAATACAAAGGGCTGGGGATGTGACTCAGTAGTTAAATGTCCTGGGTTCAATCATTAGTACCCCAAATTTAAAAATTAAAAAAATTTAATGCTGAGACTTGATTAAAAATACAAAGTTTGTGAAATTTCAACCATCATCTTAAATTTAAATAAACTGCTCTTTATGCCAGGATCACCTTGGTTCACGTAACCAAGAGAACAAAGATGGGAACGAAAGTATTATAGGTTTCTCACTGCTAAATTTCTTATTGCTATTAATGTCTAAACAAATATAGTTTTGAGTTTGAAATATCTTTTTTATGACTATAGTTTAATAAAACTTTATTTACAAAAATAAGTGACTGACCAGATTTCACATACAATCTCTGTCTAGAGTAGTATATATCACAAACTTCATTTAAAAGTTTCTAGTACTTGCATTAAAATAGGATGAAATTTTAATATATTTCATCTAATATAGCATATTCAAAATATTTTCAACATATTGTCAGTAAAAAGACTAATAAATTATTTTACATTAAATCTTCAAAAACTACTGTACAATATTTAATACTTACAGCCCATCTCAATGTGTTTTAGTTTCAAATGCTCAGTAGACAAATGTGGCTCAATGACTACTGAATGGATAGTGCAGGTCTATAGTTCTAAAACTGATCAAATATATAATTACTCTACCCTCTATATCTTTTAGCTATTCTGTACTTTCATTTTGAAATATCTTTTAAGCTTTCAGATCAATATTAAATTTAACTATACCTATGTAGAGTAGTTTATGTCATATGAACTCAAATACAGTGTTTATTCATTTTTCCTGGAAATATTATCACACTTCCCCTAATTCTGTGACAGGATAAACATTAAAACCACCAAGTTGGCTAAGAAAACAGTATGCTCAATGGTTTTCCATTATTTGAAGACAGAATTATCTTTAGAACTCAAATCCAATTATCTTTTTACTTAGATTGATAATTCCTTTTCTCTATAAGGAAAGAGAACATAATGTTTAAACATCAGCTTTGTGTATTTCATGAAAATTGGACAGAAATTGTAATGTTAAATTGCAAGTACTTCTGGACCTTCAAAAATACTTTTTTCCATAAAAGTAACAAGAACATCAGCAAAAACTACCAAAATTAACTTTTTCAGAACTCTGGAAGTTAAACATAAGACTGTAACAATCTGTTGAGTGTTTATTACTGATAAATGATTGAATTTTGGTAAGAACAGTGAGCTCGGCTGCATTTGATTTTGTACAGTCCCATCTTTGTTTCCACAATTCTGTGTCAGCTAGAAGTCATACTTTTGTTCTATTATACTGATCACAACTACTTAAATTTCAAAATCTAAGAAGCTAGCTATTTAAAAGCTTCATATGCCAAAAGCTACAGTCTATCTTTTAGATACTTATACATAGCCCCACTTAACCCTGCCTACTTTGCTTAAAATTGCAATGAACGACCGACCATTCACAAACTCTTTTTCCATGAATGTTCCCTGCAAAATAACATTCCAAAGAACACTGTGAGCATTCTGCCTGGCCCTTTTCACTGGATTACCCAACACTGGCTCTGACACGAGTTTGATAACCTTGGTTGAGCTACTTTGGTATATTAATTTCCTCGATTTTCTTTCTTTCTTTTTTTTTTTTTTTTGGTGTGCGGGGGTAGTACTGGGGATATCACCTGGGGATGCTTAACCACTGAGCCACATCCCCAACACTTCTTTAAATATTTTATTTAGAGACAGGGTCTCACTGATTTGATAAGTGCCTCGATAAGTTGCTGAGACTAGCTCTGAACTCTCAATCTTCCTGCCTCAGTCTCCTGGGATTATAGGCATGCACAACCTTGCCCAGCAGAGTTTAGTGTCCTCATTTTAAAAACAGAATTATAATACCGTTATACTGTAAAGTCATTATAAAGATTGAATGAGTTAATATTTATAAAGTACTTAGAGTCACATGTGACTACTTTTATTAATTATTACATAAAGTTCACAAAAGAAAACACTTTGTCTTGTATGCTACAATACCACCGATGATGAGCTCAGTTCCCGGCACAGAATAAACATATGCAGAATAAACAAAAGAGTACAAATAAAAGATGCTTAAAATTATATGTATGAATAGCAGTGTTAGAAAGATTTATATATATAGGCATTCTTACTGAAAGACACATATTTATAATGGGTACAAAGATTCATCTTGGACTATGAACATAGGTTTGAGTTTTTTTTCTCCCATTTACTAGCTCTTTAATTTTAGGCTATTTATCATCTTCTCAGTCCCAGGTTTCCCATCTGTTTAAAAAGGGGACAATATATAGCTTACAGACATTGTTATGAGCTAAAGATAAAATATTAAACTATGTAGTATAGTGCATGGCATATAGTATGCTCAAGATATTAATAAATATTATGATAAAATGACTCAACATTAGAGTTGCAAATGAATTATGTTTCAGAGTAAGTTTAAAATTATTCAGTTTTGAAACTACATATTAATAATAAAAGGAATACATCTGAAAAGAAAAAATAGGAATATTATTACCAACTCTATACCCACAAGTTTGTTAACTTAGATGAACAATTTCCCAAAACTCACACAAGGAGAAACAGATAATCTGAATAAAACTTTATCTATGAAATACTGAATCAATAGCTAAACCTAAGGAGGGGAAAAAAAAGAATCAAGCCCAATTTCAATAGTGAATTCTACACAAACATTTAAAAAATGATATATCTGTCTCATTCAGAATAAGACATTACAAGAAAGGAAAACTACCAACTAATATCTCTCATGAAGGCAGATATAAAAATCCTCAACAAGTATCAGGAAATAGAATCTAAAAAATGTATTCAAGTAACCATTCATCTATAAATGAGATATATTATAGGTATGCAAAGGTAGTTCAACATTAAAAACATCAATTGATATTACTTGTCACATCTACAAGCTAAAATAGAAAAATAAATATAACATCAACAGATGCAGTAAAAAAAGCATTTAACAAAACCTAATACTCATTAATGACAAAAATTCTCAGCAAATTAGAAATAGAGGTAAACATGTATCCTGTCCTTAGTAAGATTAAAATCTAATAAATGAATTTCTAAACAGACAAATTAACATAAATCACAAAGTGATTTGGCTTTTTTGGATGGTTAAATGGATATATAACAAACACCAATTAGAGTAGTTTTGGGCACAGTGTAATTATATTAGAAAATTGCTATGTTCATGAAAATGATATCCATTTTTATAAACAGGAATATTCATATATATATGCTTTATAAAATCATATAAAAGCAGTATTACTCCTATGAATAAAAAATGTCAGTAATAAAAATAATACAATCATTATTATTATAAAACAGAAGGAAGCATTTCTCCAATGCAAATTAGTTATCATGGAAAATTATATAGGAAGAAAAGCTTTAAGGAAAATAATGAAACTTTAAACTTGTACTGAGAAAAGTTGTATTACATATATAAAATATTAGATAAAATGTGACAAAAATGGAAAGAAAATGAAAAAGAAAACATAATAAAGATTTATTCTTTTACTTTATTTATTTATTTATTTTTTTTGGTGGTGCTGGAGATTGATTGCAGGGCCTCATGAAAGCTAGGCAGGCACTCTACCACTTAGGTGTATACCCAGCCCCAAATTTTCCTTCTTTTAAAACTTGTCAAGTTATTCCTACTTGTTTAATGGTCTCTTCCTTGATTTAGACATCAATACAAGACTTTCATCCTATTTTTATGAAACAACAGTGACATCCAGAGGCCAAGACAACAGCAGTTATACAATAGCAGTCAGCTCACTATTATTACTCAGCTAAATAATCAGTTTGGAACTGACAAGATCACATGCAAGAATCCAACAAGATGGATGAATATAAATACTTAGGTTTAATGTCTAATTTCAAAATGTAATTCAGATGAATGTGTGTGTATAATATATTTGAATCTAGTTAATATAACATTCAATTTTGTGAAACTTAAATTACTAGTATTTTTCATTTATATGTATTAGGTGGCCTGTAAAATACATTTAATGGTAATTAATCTGTAAAAGCAGTATTCTAAAAAACAACAGCTTAAATATCTTACCTTCTATCAAAACCAGACATTCATTTGAAAGTGGAAGAATACCACTATTTTTCACAAAATGAACAACTACTTTTCGTCCTCCTTGGTCTTTGGTGGTCCAGATCTCTGAATCATATAATGATGTATTTTGTAGTTTGTTATCTGGGGATTGAGTTGCAGCATCTTGCAAAATTATATCCAAATTGCCCTCATGTGGAACTTCTTGCCTAAAATCAATGACAATGAAGTATTTTAAAGCAATTTTGGTTTAATCTTAAAAAATTCCACTTTAAGAAAGCATCCAATTAAAATTCCATTTTTATATACAGATCAATTAATCTATTTTTTTTCTTAAGTTAAGGAAATAATTCACTGTGCAAATCAAGTAATTTTATTTAATAGATATTTGGTATTTTGTGGCTAAGCAGATCTACAATTATTTTTTTTTATACCAATCTGTTCTCCTCTGTAAGGAATGTGAAAATTACCAGTGGGAGAAAAAAAAAAAAATGCAGCAACTCCCTTTCCCTCTCTTTATCCAGTTAACCTCACTTTCATAGACCATATACTTTCAACCAATCTTAAACTTCCTTTAATAATTAGTAATTAAGTCACATGGTTAAAGTATCATAGTGTAGAAATGGCATGGTCGGGAATCAAAAGGTCTATGTGCCTGTCCTGGTTCTGTTGTCAATTAGCTGTATAACTTTATCTCATTTGTTTAAAGGGGGATTATAGATAGGGGCTTTGCTTTAAAGAGCTGTAGGATTAACACAGAAAGGTAGATTACCTGTAGGCAGGTAGGAATAAGGGTGTTTGAGGAGGTGGGAGGGAAGAGACCTGGCCATCCTACAAGGAGACACTAGGCCTTGAGAACATTCTGTGGCTACTTCTGCCAGCCTCAACAGTAATTGCCCTTCCTTATCAATGGCCAACCACAAAATCTACTCTTATCCCAAGCACTTTCTATTCAACTAAAGGACCAAATCCCAAGGTTGAGCCTGTCTTCTTAATTATGTAAATAAGGGATTAAACTTATACACTTTGGATTGGTTTATTCAACCAGAACTTAAAGAGCTTGACTGCTCCATTCTTCATTTACATAGGTTCCACCAATCACCTACCAGGGGCCATCACACATGCCTTTAAAAACCCCCAACAAATAGCCAGCAGTACCCTCCCTTAGGACCACTCCTGTACTGTGGGAGCCTTTTCTGACTTAGATAAATCTTGCTACTCTACCCTCCACTTTTTTTGTGGATCTCATTCTTGGAATCTGAGAGACAAAGAACACATTTAACGTCATGCTCCATGCAACATGATTACACACAGAATTTAATGATCCAAAATTTGATAATATTTCAAGTATTAAGTAAAATATTTACATATATTTTAATCCCAACTACCATTCAAGGTCTAATGGGTCCCAAATGTAATTTAAAGATATTTGTTAGATTTCAGAGGGAAAATATGTATATTAATGTACACAGAAATTACTAAATAACATAGCAACACAAATATACATGGTCATGTATATAATGTGCATCATAGTACACTACAGAGAAAGCTTGATTTTTGGTATCCAAATGTACATATCCATCCATTAGCTACTTTTCATTAACATCATTTTATATATTTAGAAGACAGGTAAACTGCATTAAAAATATGAACAAAAATTTAAAAAATAACTTTCCAAATATCTCTTGAGCTGAGTACATATTAACAAGATTACAAAACAGTCCTATATACATACCTGCATTTGTTTACTTACTTATTTATGATTAATGTTTATAGTAAAGACACCAAGGAACTGAGAACTTCTTAATTACTATACAAAATTTAAATTGTGCTTTTTATATTATAGTTCTTAACTAGACAGAAATATTTCTAACAAGAATTCTGTATCACTTAAGTAGAAATACCAATTACCTACATTTTTCAAGAATTCCAGTTAAAACAGATTTATATTTACATATATATTTTGTAACAAAGGAGAAATTCTCCCGAAATACATTTCTAATTTATTATTTTCATAGGCATTCATCAGAACTAAGGTGAATTTCAGATCTAAAAATAGCACATATTTTTATTTATTATTACTAAGAATGAATTGAAAGGAAACATAAGGGAAAAAGAATGAATCAGAAGAATCTACTCTGAGATTGTACATTTCCCTTAAAAACATTATCATTCTTTCAAAATACTATACATACTATACAATTTGATCATTATCAGGACTTAAAACTATGTATGTGTAATGCTTATATACAAATAACATGATAACTTTATTTTGGAATACTTACAGTGAATAACATTTAGGACAATGAAGTTTGACAGACTGAAAAAGTTTTTTGGGCTTATAGGATCTCAGTTTTGCTCGGATTCGATATTGTTGAGGAGCTTTTTGTTTCAAAATGGCACATAATGGTGTTTTCTCCAAATACTGATGATCTGTAAGTACTGTACAGAATTTTTTTTTAAAGATTTTTTTTTTAAGAGAGAAAGAGAGAGAGAGAGAGAGAGAGAGAGAGAGAGAGAGAGAGAGAGAGAGAGAATTTTTAAATATTTATTTATTTTTTTTTAGTTCTTGGCATACACAACATCTTTGTTTGTATGTGGTGCTGAGGATCGAACCCGGGCCGCACGCATGCCAGGCGAGCGCGCTACCGCTTGAGCCACATCCCCAGCCCTGTACAGAATTTTTATATTAAATCAGAATAGCTTACAAGAGCCTTAAGTGTATTCATGACATCCCCCAGAACCAAATATACACTATAAAGCCTAATTAACTTATGCTTTGTTAACTGTCAGTTCCAAGAAAGCAAAAGTCATATTATTCTTGGATGCATACTTATTAGAATTTAGGCAGCACTGTCATGCAGATAATGTTACTGTTGAAAATTGGGGAGGAGTTGGGGGAGGAGAGTGAGACCAGAACCTTGGTGGCAAATGCCCAGCAGGAAGGCCAGGAAGGCACACAATAGGTATCCAAATACTTCATTCATGAAATAATTTGTCTAGTAAGTGTACACTAAGTATTTTTATATGAGACTAAAAGTGATTTCTTGGCTAACTTAAGGAAAACAGTAAAGTTTATTTCATCAAGAAAATGAATATGTTACCTGTGAAACATTTTAAAATATTCACTATAATACTGATATCTGCAACAACTCTATCAAGTAACAGCTTAAGTTGTATTTGACATTGTTCAACAGAATATAACAAAACACATTTGCTCAATATTATTTGCCAGACAAGTTCTTCTCCATGATATTTAAGACAAGAGACTCTTTCCAGAACTTTCATTTATAATAAACAATTCCAAGAGTGACAAGAGACATTAAGGAATACCAAATTGTCATGGTGGTGGTAAAGTACAAGAAGGAAAAGGAGTCAGGTGGGAAGGAAATGAACGAGGAAGGTGAAGAGAGGAAAAGGAGGGAAGAAGGAAGATGAGAAATAAAAGAATTAGATTGGAAAAAAAGTCAGACAAAAGCAATAGAGGCTTAGCCTGGTAAAATGGGTTTCCTCAGCTGATGGTGGAAAGGTCTGGGATAGCAGTGGTCAGTTTATACAGGGATGAGTACAAAATTGCTGGTGACCCTCAGTGTAAGAAAGCAACCCTTACTCTGCCTGCTAAATTAGTTAATACTTTTCTATTTTAGAAAATGGAATGGATGCACACACTTTGACACTCAAATGGCTAGGAGCATTACTTCCTATATCCAGCTTGAATCCAACTAAAGCCTCACTGAATAAATTTGCCTTCAAGGAGGTAAGAGGCCAAGAGTTTACAGTGGAATAGTCTTGCTTTAAAAAGCAAAAGGCCAAAGTAGATGCAATCAGTTTAGTTTAAAATTGGCACTTGCTTCAATTAACACTGTGAGACAAAGTTTTTAACTTTTTATTTAAAACTTTCAAACTTAAAGAAAATTGCAAGAGTAATACAAAAACCCTCTATATTCCCTTTCCCAAGCTTTTGTCACATTTAACCTTGTCAGTCTGCCTTTATCTCTCTGCATATGTATTTTTATTAATGAAATAATTGAGAATAATTTTTAGATATCATGCCTCCTTCCCCCAAATACTTTAGTGTGTATTTCACAAGAACAAGATCTTTCAATGACATAGTTACAGGGCAATTTTCAACATCAAACATTTAACATTAATTTAACAGATATTATTCAAATTTTTCTAACTATTTCCAAAAAGTTCTTTTCAGCATTTTATTATTTGGTTCAGAGTCCAATCCTGCTTTTATTTTTTGACATTTATTTGAGAAGTTCAGGCCACTTACTTTGTAGAATAAACATTAATTTGGGTGTGTCTTGTTTTACCCTCAGGTTCAATTACAAGTTACACATTTTTGGCAAAGACAATATCTGTGATAATGTGTGCTGCTCAGTGCATCCATCAAAGGGCATATAATACCGTTGTCTCCATTATTGGAGATATAACTTTTTAAATTTGGTGTAGGTGATTAGTCTGCTATAAATTTACTATTTTGCCCCCTCATAATTGGTAAAGAGGTACCTAAGAAAAAGCAAATATGCTATGCTTCATCAAATATTTAGGACCTAACAGCTTAGGAGCCGCTGATTCACAATTAAATCAATAATTACTAATATCATTGCAAAATGATGGATTTTTTTCTAATTTAATTTTTTTATATTTATTAGTAGTCATATGTAGTAGTCATTTCTCCATAAGAAAGAGATTTCCATTCAACCCCATTTATTTACTGTTGTTTGTTATCAACTAGGGCTCATACAATGAGTTCTAATCCATCACTAATATATATTTTGATGCTCAAATTGTCCTAGATTTGACATGTCCAAACATTTAATTGAGAATTTCCTTATTTTCTGGCACTCTAAGATATTTCAAATTTATCTTATTCCCTTGTCCTAGCCCCAGATCTGCTATTTCTCTAAGGAGCCCTTGCATATTTTTAAACCAAAATCTGTAGACCACTTATACTTATTGTTAGTGGAGTACCCTTGCCTCTGTGCCCTTTCATGGATACAGGTGGCATATGTGCATATAGGTTGATACTGGTATATACACATACATGTACTTTTATATGAATATGTATACATGTAAATATATGGATACACACACACACCCCTGTCACCATTTCTATAGCTACATATAAAATCATGCCACGATTACAGGGCATCTTTGGTTCCAATACAACACCAAGTTTTATTAAGTGTTCTCTCATTCCATATTTTGTATCCCCTTTCTCTCATATGAGAAACTCATATCTTTATAATAGTATATAACATTTAATTAAAGTGTGTTTAATAAGTTCTGTGGCATGTTTTAAGAAGTTCCTTATCTAACACTATGAGAGACATAGTGTGATTAAAATTAATGTCATATAATATATTCTGTATCCTCAAACTAAAAAATAAACCCTGATATACTGTTAAATTGTACAATGATATTTTTTATAAATAGTAAGAGATACATGATTTAAAATATATATTCAATCAGAGACAGGTTCTGCATGGGTTACATTTTATGCTGTATAGGATGAGATAGAGGAATAAAAGTTAAATGCAGACCTATTTTTGTTTTATGATATCTACTCTTACTATTAGGCAAGAAGGAATTAGTTAAGTGTAAGAGCAAACTTTAATATGCTCATTATTGTAGTATTGTTCCTTATCTCAAAAATGATAGTTGGTCTTACTTGTAGCAGACAGCTGTTGGCATCTTTCTACTTCATATAGTGATACTGATCCAGAGCCTACAGGAAGAAGGAAAAACAGAAAAGAAAAAGAAGAATTACAAATTTACTGTGGCACTGAAAACTATAAAACATTATTGAGAGAAATTGAAGAATACCTAAATAAATTTTGACATAAGTTATCATCATGATTTTCTAGCCTTGACAATGTTAAGATATCAATTTCCCCCCAAATATTTTGCAGATTAAATACAATTCTAATCAAAATTACATAGGCATTATTACAGAAATTGCTAATCAGATTCTACTACTTAAGTGGAAATGCAAAGGATCTAGAATAGTGAACAAAATCTTGAAAAAGAAAAACACTGCAGGATTTATAGTAAAAGACTTTAAGACTTACTATAAAATTATAGTAATCAAGTCAACATAGTACTGGCATAAAGACTGACAAATTAAATTAATTAAATATATAATCTATAAATAAAGCCACATTTACAGTGGTGATTTTTGACAAAGACAGCATGATAATTCACAGGATAAGCAGAAATAGCTTTGGAACAATTGAAAATTCATATGGGAACAATGGATGCATCCTTCACACTATACTAACATGTAAAGAACAGAAAACAGAAATAAATCTATATTTACATCCATTTGACTTCTGATAAAGACACTGAAGTAATCTAAACAGGAAAAGGAAATAAACATTGCTATAAAAACTAGAAATTCCTACTTAAAAGTAAAATGTCTACCTTACACTATACCACAAAGTGTTAAGAAAAGAATAAATTATGCAATAGTGCAGATAAATCTCAGAAACATACTTTGTGTAAGAGAATAGATAACTCATGATTCCACTTATTTGAAGGTCTAAAACAGAAAAGTATGCAGAATGTGAATTATTCATGTTTATGTATCAGGTAAAACTCATGTAGTAGTACATGAAATAACTGGTTGTCATTTCAATGAATGTAAATTTATCTTAAAAATAATCTTAAACAATTGTTGAATGTTAATGACGCATATTCATACTTAAGTGTTTAGAAGGCTTGATATCTGAAACGTACTTTAAAATGAACCAAAAAATAGAGACTAATAAATGAAAGGAGGAATGGAGAGAGAGACCAATATGTAATAGAGCAAATAAAATAAAATATGAATCAGAGAATCTAGGTACTGAGTATATAATATTCTCTCTACAATTGTTTTAACCTTGTTGTATGTTTTAAAAATTCTTAATATATCAAAAAATACACCATGAAAATGAAGAAGTGAATAAATTAGTAAGTTTATTAAATGTAATACAATGACAAATTAAATTAAACAGGATATTACTTTAATAAGCAAAAGTAGAAATCAAACCAATAATTTGTAAAATACTATCTAATTTATAAAATGAGGAATTTAAGACAAGTATATTTTACAATTGCTTTATTTTTCATTCTATTATATATAGCAGTATATTATTTATTTTATGGAGCATCATATACAACACATACATGACTAGCCTTTCTTCTTCAGCATCATTAATGACTAACACCAAAAAACAAGAGAACTTGGACAGATATCTCAAGGTGACGTGGTACAATTTCAATGAATCTAATTTATTTATTAACATCTACCATTCCAATATGAAGTGTAAACAATGCAGAAACCATAAAAGCAGATGAATGAAAAAATATGGCAAAATATATATATGGTCTACCATCAATTGATAAAAAAGGTAAAAGAATCCAAAAGAAAATCACATAGAGTAAGAACAGAAAATTGAAAGAAAAAAAAATAAAAAAGAGCTGTTAATTATATTGAGATTTCCAAATGCTCACGAAAATTAAGTAAGACATTTCCTTTTACCTACCAAATTGTCAAGAAATTATACACACTGTTTAACCTCCAGAACTGTGAGGTCGTGGAGGAAAGGACATTATCCTATGCTGTTATTCAGGTACAAATTCTGATGACCTTTTCTGAAAGAAATTTTGTGGTATCTATTAACATAAAACATATGTCTAGCCTTTAATATATCAACTCCACTTGTAGGAGTAGTTGTTTTTTTTTTAAGAGAAGTAAAAGCATAAAAGTAAATGTGTTTAATATTTATTCAAACATTACTTGCAATTACAAAGCACTTGTTGACAACCTAAATGTCTACCAAATGGAGAATGGCTAACTAAATATCATTATGCCTGTATAATACAATACTATGTGATTACTAAAATAATGAGTTTAAGCTATATGAATCAGTGCAGAAAGAGGTTTAAAATATACTGTTAAAAAAGCAACTATTACAGCATGATTCCATATTGGTAATAACTTAAGAGAGAGGGAAGTTTTATTTCTTTATGTTAGGTATGTCTTTAGAAATATGAAGTTATTGAAGGAATCACATTAAACTATTAACCTTATTTCAGGGAGAAAGGCATAGAGGGGGATATAGGCATACAGACAAGTATTCAATTTGATATTTTGAATATTACTGTGTAATTTAAAAACAATAAAACACTTTTAAAAGGAGAAAAGAGATTGCAAGAAAGTATAACTACAAATTACACTATATCTAAATGGTGTCAATTGTAAAATTGGTCTTTTAATGGTAGTGCGAATAGTTATATATCAGGCTAAAATGCCATTATTGAGGTGACAGAAATGGGAAGAGTTTTAAGACAGAATGAGAAATAAATTTATAAACAGAAAGTCAAATATACCCTATATTTGAACTTGATTTGCTTTATCATCAGTCAATAAGTATCTGTGAACAAATTAAATGATGCCTGTTACTCATAGCCTCAGTTTCCTTTCTGTAAAAGAGCGAAAATAATACATCTTACAGGCAGTTGTCAGGATTAAAAAAATAATGGACACAGGCATTTACTAAGTGTTTATTAAGAAATGCATGCTAATTTTAGACTACTAGTGGTATAGCCAGAGAGTAAACACCCATAAAACATTTTTTTTTTTTTTTTTGATTATAGCAGGATAGGAGTTAGACTGTTAAAAAATATCAGACTAAAAACCTGATGTACCTTCTACGGGTCAGAATGTACAACCAGATATTAAGTCAAAGTGGAAAAGGAGAAGAAATGTTGCACGCTGAACAGTTTTAAAGTTCAGACTTGAACAGTCATCTATTCAGGTAGACAAAAATATAAACATACAAAAATATAATAATTTGATAGCATCTTATAATTAGATTATGGAAACTATGTATACATCTAAGATGTATATGAGCAAAAAATTATTGGGCTTTTTGATAAAAAGCAGCACAATCAATAAAGCAGCACAATCATCCTTTGTTCATTTTAGAAACTGAGAAGTAAAAGTAGTTGCCTAGAAAATAATACAGAATTTTTAATGAATACACACATTTTATATATATATATATACATATATATATATATATATATATACACACACACACACACATCATAAATCAAGCAGTCACTATCACTCTAATTTGGAAATGTAATTATAAATTTAGGAAGAACCATACTTTGCATAGGATACAGATGAATGTTTAGGGTGTTCTATTATATATATATATATATATATATATATATATATACATAAATATATATATATTTTATATATATATTTACACACACACATATAAATAAAACAAGAGAGATAGAAACAGTGAAATATTAAAGAAAATAATTATACTGATGTAGCAATTTTATTTATCAGGAACTAAACTGTCAAAGTTAAAAACTGTCCTTACTTGAAAGGGCTGGAAAGCTGTCCTCATGTTCTGATTGAGAGATAATATCTGAACGCTGAGTAGCTGTCAAATCTGCAGATTCTAAAGCTCTAAAATGGGAAGAATATAATTTCAAATTTGATAACACAAAGTCAAAACAGCAAGTTTAGCTCCAACCACAAAAATCCAGGATTCCACTGCAATTACTTATACAATTTTCTGTGTATTCTCAGTAAATAGTCTACAGCTTCCATTAGATTATCTGAGGGTTCCAAAGCCCTCATAATTAAAAACCCAAGGTTAGAAAGATAAAAGTGGAACAGAAAGGCAATGAAATACTATAAACAAAAATATTCTGGCAATTTAATAGACATTCGGAGTCAGAACAATCTCACTGTAGATTCAAGAAATGAAATAATGAAATGCTATGTTGTTATATATTGCAATACAAATAAAAATGACATAAAATTAGTAAAATAGATTTTTTTTTAATTTTAATGACAAATTCACTGAAATAAATTAAAATTTAAATATTACTTATCAAGTTACTGTTCAGCAAAATTAAGTGTTTTCTATCTCTGGAGATACATAAAAGTTATTTTTTTTTGTTCTGTCTGTCTAAAATACTGCTAAAAATATTTTTGTACACAGTAGCCACTAAGAATAGCTCAAGAAAAAGAATTGCATATACAGGAATTAAATTAATATACTATTTACTTTCTGAGCATATCCAAAAGTTAAAGACACTTTTGTTAAAAGTTTAAAAATTCATACACTAAAACACTTCTGTTACCTATTTAATCTTAAGCCCTTTAGAAAGTTTTTTCTTTTCCTCTCCCCACAGCAGGATTAAATATTTTAGAAATTTTAGTTATATAATAAAGTTTCCAAACTTTGGCTAAAATCTACTTGCCACTGTTTATTGCTATACTTAGTATAGCAAATGGTATAAGAAGAGCATGAGTGTAAAAAGCAGACTTGAACTACTAGAAACTTAGACTATAGTGTTGGCTCTGTTACTAACTGGCTATTTGAACTTATAATCACTTGAGGTTGTATCATTTGGCTCATCTATTTAAAAACGTGGAGAATATAATAGAAGGCCATGAGGATCAAACCTATCAGAGACCCACCAGGAACAATATTACCTTTGAAATTAGTTTAATGAATACCTTATGTACATTTTCTAAACAGGTGTATAAAATGCTTACTTTTTCAGTTGGTCCACATCGGAGTTACTTTCTGGCAAGACCCTGATTCCTCGACCATAACTAGTACCTCCATGGAGATGAAACTCTAGGCTTAACAATGATGCCTGGCTCTGCAAATTCACTGATTGTAGTTTGGTATGGAGGCTATAGATCCTAAGAAAGCTTCCAACCTAAAAACAGATTATTTATGATTTAGAAAGAGAGGAAAAAATCAATTTCTTACATTTAAAAATGTTAGATCCAGTGTGAGGCAATGACCAGCCACAACAATAAGGACCACTGCCTAACCAGAAAATAAGAGTAGGTGTGCTATACCAGTGTGGTTGAACATCAGCTCCATGGATTCTACATCCAAACCACACATTCAGTTGTAAGACAGTTCCATTTCAGACATACTGAATGTGAAAGAACATACTGTCTTAACATTAAGCTAGGAATGTGGGAAAACAGAGAAAGATATATTCAGTCTCAAGAGAAAAAGAAGCACCTGCGAACTGTTGGAATTCAAAACAAAACTACTCATGGGCAACCCAGCCTGCACCCTTGGGGCATGCCCTTGCTTGCAAAAAGTCATGTAATACCAGGGTAATATACAAGTAGTACAAAAACCGGCTTGAAATTGTGTAATTCTGCCCTGCTTCCACCTGTAGTCTAATCCATAGTTACTGTCCCTCAATAAATGTTAACACCCCAGACCAAGTGGTGCCTCTCTAGTTCTTTTTTTTTTTTTTTTTTTAATTTTTTATTGTTGGTTGTTCAAAACATTACAAATTTCTTGACATATCATATTCCACACTTTGATTCAAGTGGGTTATGAACTCCCACCTTCCCCCCATACACAGATTGCAGAATCACATCAGTTACACATCCATTGATTTACATATTGCCATACTAGTGTCTGTTGTGCTCTGCTGCCTTTCCCATCCTCCACCCTCCCCCCTCCCCACCTCTCCCCTCCCCTCCCCTCCTCTCTCTCTACCCCCTCCACTGTATAACCCTGAGGGTCTCCTTCCATTTCCATGCAATTTCCCTTCTCTCTCCCTTTCCCTCCCACCTCTCATCCCTGTTAAATGTTAATCTTCTTCTCCTGCTCTTTGTCCCTACTCTGATCTTAGTTACTCTCCTTATATCAAAGAAGACATTTGGCATTTGTTTTTTAGGGATTGGCTAGCTTCACTTAGCATAATCTGCTCTTTCTAGTTCTTGAGGTTGCCCATATTCTCCCTTGAATGTATCTTTGTTTCCCTAATTAAAACACTATCTGTGAATCTAACTGACATGTCTTAAATTCATTTCTCTAACATTAGTCAACATTTGTGGTCCTCCTCTCTAGGAATTCCTCCAGTCTCTTCCAGTGATGGCATCAATAAAATATAGCAAAGAAATTTATTATCTAAATGAAATCCAAGACCTTTATTTGATAAACATTTCTCAAAATAACTTGCTTTAACTAGTTTAAAAAATATAATCACTAAATACTCTCATGGTGACAAAGTAGAAAAAACAAAAAGTACAACTATACCAAAATAATAAATATTACACCATCCCTCAATTTTTATGAAAAGGAAATTTTTATAATAAAGCATTTGTATTTCCACAACAGTACTGCGAAATAAAATTATAGGATTGATCTATGAGTTCAGATATAGGATTAACGAGTTTTGAATCAACTAATCTATGGTTAATCTTAGATGTTTTGCTAAAATTAGTCTGAAAGTGTCTCAATTACAGAGAACCTGATTTTTTTTTTCAATAAAGATCTCAATGAGAGAGATATAGAATGCCAATCAAAGATATCAAGATATTGACATCTACTTAAAAGAAGAAGCAACATAACCTGAATCATAATTTACTTTCATGAAAATTTACAGTTATAAGCTAGGAATTTAATTAATTTGCATAAAAGTAGCACTAGTGATTACTAGATGACTATAAGGCTATCTTCCTCTTTTTTTTGTCTGTTTTTCTTTTTTTTTCCCCTACAAATTCAGCCTAAAAGTGGTGATGTACAATAGAACAGAAAAACCATATAAGTGAGAATACAAAAAATAAAGACAAAGAGCAAATCATCTTCCACTAGTGACTGTAACTTTTCTTTTCTTTTTAATATTTATTTTTTAGTTGTTGGTTGGACACAATACCTTTATTTTATTTATTTTCATGTGGTGCTGAGGATCAAACCAGGGCCTTGCATGTGCCAGGTGAACACTCTACTGCTGAGCCAAAACCCCAACCTAACTTTTCTTAATTACATTTCTCTTCCTCACTCTTTCGCTGTGATGGAAGGGGATGGGGAAAGAAAGTAAGGTAGTAAATCTACATTCCCAGACATACTCCTTCAATCCCAAGGGTCTTTTTTTCCCATCCAGTAACTGGTTTATAAGGAGGGAGTAAGGTATCTAGTCTTTTCTCCTCTGACTTCTTACACATCATAACTGGGGAATAGGATGATGAACATCAGGAAAACACACACATACACATACACACACACACAAAGATGATAAAACTCATTTCCCACATGGTCTCCAAAATGCAATAGTGGAAGAAAATAAGTTTCAATTTATCTCATTCTTTTTGAATATTCATTATTTTGTGATTATATATGTATATAAATATAACTATACATCAAATATACTAGTACAGTACATATCTATAATCTATGAAGAACTTCAAAGAAGGTCTAAATATATGGAGAAAGATTCTTTGTTCACAAACAAAAAGCTTTGATATTATAAACATGATTTCCTCCATATTACTCTTTAAAGTCAATGTAATCTCAAGCAAAATCCTTAGTGTCTTTCATAGAATTTGAAAAGCTAATTAAAAATTTATGGGAAATAGAATAGTCAAGTAAATTTTTAAAATGAAGAAGGGGCTCTGTCCTATTAAAAGTGTACATACAGTAAAAAAATATATTTTTTAAAGGATCAAGCAGGATACAAAAAAAAGTCAATGTATAGAGTTTGATTCTAAAAGTATCTAAAGTAAACATGACAAAACAATTAGAAATAAGTTTATCTGGTGAGATCATAGGTGTTTATCTTTTCTAGTATTGCATTTCATTATTAAACAAGATTTAAAGGCCAGAATAGAATTCATATACCAACAGACTATAAAAATGACAAATGGTTATTATCAGAAATTCCTTCTGGAGGCAGCATTGTACCTTTTAAAACCTGACTAAATATATCATGAAATATGCCCAATGTTCTAGTATAAAAAAATGAATGTTGTTTTGTCTTATCACTAATGCAATAAGGTTCCAAAAACAAGTGAAAAAATTAAAAAATTATAAAATATACTTTAAAAATTATTATAATTTTTAAATTATATACTATTTCAATAAAGAAACACTGGAAAAAGCAAAGCAAATATGACTATTAAGAAACCACTATCTCTTAACATAACCACCTCAAGTTCTAACCATTTTCCTCCAAATGACATAATTTCACTTTTCTTTATGGTTAAAGAAAACTCCATTGTGTATATATATACCACATTTTCTTTATCTATTCATCTGTTGATGGATGTCTAGGCTGATTCATATGTAGAAGCTAAGAAAAAGCAAAAGAAAGGTGTGTGGGGCATAAGCACATGAAAAGCAAAGGGAGGTCAGTAGAAGAGGAGAAAGCAACCAGGCAGTGGAAGGTGCAGAGGGAGGGGGGGATGTGTTGAGGAGGAATACTGGCGAAGTTATATTGCTATATTGTGTGCATGAACTAATGTATAACAATAAATCCCACCATTATATATTACTATGATGCACCAATAAAAATGTGGAGGAAAAAAAAAGAAACCACGATTCCTTTAGAAATAATCAAACTATGGGCTGAGGCTGTAACTCAGTGGTAAAGTGCTTGCCTCGCATGTGTGAGGCACTGGGCTCAATCCTTAGCACCACATAAAAAATAAATAAAGATACTGTGTGTTCATCTACAACTAAATAAATAAAAAAAAAATCAAAAATATTTTGCATAAATCATCAAGAATTTATCTTTAGGATTAATACTTTTAATCCCCTGTATATGTCTCAAAATAGTCAAGCTACAGTTAATTAAGGGGTTGCTAAAGGCCTTTATTATGACATTATATGTTTTATAGTTATTTTCAAAACTGTCAAGATAAGACAGAATCTCAATTTGTCTTCATGTGTATAAAATGTTCTGGGAATGACATAACTTCCTTAAACAGCAAGATTCAGAAAAAAAGGTGAAATGAGTTAAAAGGTAATTTAGGCTGTAAAATGTATTGTTTAATAAAATTTGGTTATATCAAGCTTTACTTTGCATTAACTACTCCTTTATTTAAAAAAATACACATCTTTCCTGTCTCCGTACAACAAATTTTGAATTTGCTCCATGCGTTTTGATATAAAAATGCAAACTTAAACTGTTGTCTTGAAACACTGATATTCACTTATATCTGCCATGTGATTAAAGATTTCATACATAAATGTGAATGTTTACAGAAGTTGCCAGAAATTAAGATATCAAATACAAAAGTATATTATATAATAGTTTAAAGGTAATACTTAAACACAGAGACAATCATTTTCATTTTTAAATTGTCCTGCATACAAAAAATATAACTATGAAGTCTTTTGAGAGAAACAACATGCCTCCTATTTTCTCAATTAGAATATGTGCTCATATCACCATCTAGTGGGCAAGAAGTTAAAAAGAAAAAAATCTGGAAAAAATTCACAGCATCCTTTCACTCATCTACTCATTAACCAGCAGATATCATTTCATTCTTACAATATGGAAAGTACTATAATAAGTACTGTTCAGGACTTAGACAAAAAAGTAGAACAAGTAAGGAAATAAAAATTCACAAAAGTGCAGAGGGAAACAAAATGGAATTACAATAATCACAGTAGATATGCATGATGAGGAACTGAGGTGATTCTAAAATGTAAATAATTTTATTCATAAAAGAACTCCTTTTGTACTAAAAATAACCTCAGAAGTGGATGTATCATAATTTTTCATTTGAAAAGATACTAGTACAGACAGTATCTTTCACAGAAAAAAATACCCAAAGTATATCTTCAACAATAATATGTCGGGTACACACACATAAACACAGACATTTCTAAAGAACTAGAAAGTGCATTTATTATATCCAAAGCCCTAATTTTAACCCAATTTTATTGTTTGAGTTGGGAGAGCTCATTTGAAACACAATGTGAGAGTGGAAGTGTTTTCTTCTCCACGGATTTTACATTTTTACAAAAGGAAACTGAGCATTGAAATGCATATCTGCACTTTTACTATTTCCTTTTAACTTCCACAAGTAGGCAGAAAGACATCTGCAATAAGAAGAACATTTCCTTTTAATGTTTAAAAGGATTACTTCAGGAAACAGACTTTGTGGATTCAATCACTGGCATAATCAAATAGCTGTAGAATTTTGGAAAGTTCACTTAACCTCTGAAAACCTCACTGTCTCATTTATAAAATGAGATGGTGACAGCACTTACAGCATAGGTTAGTACCGGATTCATATGAAGTACCTAGCAAATGTTATTATTATAAATCACGGTACAATTATTTGTTACAAAGGATACTTTCAAATAAAATACAACAAAATGAAGAAAAATATTCCATGAATCTGTGTTTCTAATTTAATAGAAACTGCCATATCTAAACAGTGCATTTTTCACTAAAAACTATAAGCAAATTCCCCAAAACAGTAAACAAATTCTATAAACTTTATAGTACATAAAAACATACACAACTAAATCAATACACTGGAGATGATTTACCACTTTCTTAAACCAGTAAGTACAAAGTTGCCATCTAGAATCTACCAAATCAATTAACAAGCTTAAAATTTATTAACAATACTTTACAAATCCTTTGTCACTTGACAAAATTTCCTTACTATTTACACAGTAAATTGTGTATGGATGGATACAAGATATCAGGAAAGATTAATTTAAAAAATAATCTATTATATATTCTAATTTATTTAGGTGACTTTAGGTACATATTTTATAAATTAAAAATTCAAGAAAAACATAAATTTGAAGCTAATTTCTAGACTTCACCTATTACCTATAAATGTAATCTTTTATCACCAACATTTATGTGGACCAAAATCATCAAAATAAAATAAATAATGCAAACATAAAGTAGCAAAAATTTTATGACACTCAACATTACCTTCAGGGATTTTGCCACTCGAACATGGTTATCATAGACTAAAATGTCTATTGTCAGATTCTGTAGCCGATGAATATGAGTTAAATCACCTTCAAGAACAAGGTCTTGTATCAAAACTCTCCAAGATGGGAATGGTGTCCTGGTGCCATCCCATACCTGCCAAGGGAAGAGTAGAGCAAAATTTAATGATATTTATGAAAAAAATTATTTTGTGTTAATAGTACTTAAATAATTAAATGTATGCACTTAAATATCTGCAATACTTTAAATATGATACATATTATTTTCTAATTATAAAATTATTAAAGATTAAACTATGGGTAATGTGAAAACATAAAGAAATAAAATTCACTTTTATGAGCCTAGATAAAATATTAGTATACTGCTCTATTTCATTTTTCTATTGTTTTTGTATACATAGTGTATATATTTAAAACTTTTAAATAAATTGGCTTTATGTAATGTTATGGTTTGGATGTGGTGTCTCACAAAAGCTCATGTATGAGACAATGCAAGAAGCTTAAGAAGAGAAATGATTGCACTGTGAGAGCTTTAACCTAATCCATGAATCCCCTGATGGAATTAACTCAGTGAAACTGAAGGTGGGAAGGGTGTGGCTGGGGGTGTGCTTCTTGGTATATATTTTGTATCTGAAAGTGGAGTCCCTCTCTCTGCTCTCTGATCATAATGTGAGCCACTTTCCTCCACCACACACTTCTATCATGATGTTCTGCCTCACCTTGAGCCACTAGGAATGGAGCTGGCAGTCTATAGTTGAGACCTTTGAAGCTGTGAGCCCCTAAATAAACTTTTCATTTTTTATAATTTTTCTTATCAGGTCTTTTAGTCACAGCAGCAAAAGAGCTGACTAAAATATATCACTTTTCTCTATAGTTTATGATTAAGTATTTTACCAAGCAATTTAAATAATACCCTACAATGTGGTTTACAATGTATTCATATTATTATTTTAAATCATTTAATTGATTTTATTTTTTAAATACATGACAGCAGGATGCATTACAATTCTTATTACACATATAGAGCACAATTTTTCATATCTTTGTAATATTATTTTAATAGGGATGGGCACAAATTTACCCTAGTAACCTTCATTAGTCAGTTGGGTGGTTTCACATTTTGTTATTTAAAATAATACTATAGCTGTCATCTTGCGTATGAACCTTTTTGAGTACCTATGCTAATTATCTTAAAAAATTTTCTATACTAACGTTAGAAATATACTGACTTGTTAATTTTTTCCATTTTGTTCTTATTTAGAAAATCCTTTTAAAAGATGTGAATGTTTTATTTACACTAGATTTTAAAAATACAAATAAATGAAAATAATGGGTACTGGGAAAAAAAAAAAAAACCTATGTTGGACTGCTATGTAAACAACTTAAGGTGCCGGGACATGGGCACAAGATGAGAATGCATTCCCCCTTCCTCACAACATGAACAGTCTATGTTGTGCTTAGGTTTTAACAGATGCTATGCTGTGCCACAAATAAGTATGATGATGAAGGACAGCTGGTGTGATGTGGGAATGTTAGAAAAGTATGGATGAACAAGAATAGACAGGTTATTTGAAAAGAAAACACTAGATCTTTTATTTCTCTCTCTACTTTTTTTATTTTCTTGTGATCCTGGTTATTAAATTCAGGACCTGACATAGAAACTCAAACACACCAGATTTTTATAGAAAAGGTCAGATCAGTGACAGATAGTGTCAGGGCACAGTAATGAATAATGCCAGTATGATAGGAAGATTAAAATAACAATCATGTCAAAATGAGTAATATTTTATGTCACAAACATTTTTCTCTGTCCAGACTTCATTAATTTTTTTGTGTGTACTGGTTTTTGCCTTTAACATTCTGTACTTTACAGATCAATGTAAGAGTCTTTGGGAATGGGGTTAGAGGGTAAAAAGTTGCAAAGCGGCTTTTATGCTTTAGTTCTTTTGGGGGTGGGGGAGGTACCCGGGATTGAACCCAGAGGTACTTAACCACTGAGTCACATCCCCAGCCGTATTTTGTATTTTATTTAGAGATAGGGTCTCACTGAGTTGTTTAACACCTTGCTTTTGCTGAGGCTGGCTTGCGATCCTCTTGCCTTAGCCTCCTTAGCCTTAGGGTTTATAGGCATTGCGCACTGCGCCTGACTTATGCTTTAGTTTTAATTGAATGAAAATCTTTCTCTCTCTCTCACACTCACACACACACACACACACACACACACACAGAGCTAACCCTTGAAAAACATGGATTCACTTATATATACATATATATTTTTAGGGGAGCTATGATAATTTGAGAAAAAGAACTTGCAAAATAACCACCTAGTCTAGAAACAGTGAAAAAAAATGAAGAAAAAGCTATGCTGTGAATGCACTCAATCTATGTAAATATGTCTATTTTATCATTTACTACCATAAAATATACACAAATCTATTTGAAAACATGTGTTGATGGTTTATGTTAGTTGTAAGGCTTCTGGTCAATAAAAGGCCATTAGTAGCTAAGTTTTTGTTGAGTAAAAAGTTATATGTGAACTGTTCACTATAGGAGGGACTTTCGCATTGTTTGGGGTAAACTGCCTGTTTACGTACACACACACATAATTTTAATTAAGTAACTTTTGTAACATCACGTCAAAATTCAATTTGGTAGGTATTTGTATATTTATAAAAATTATATGTATTTTTTTCCAAATAGATAATAACCACCTTTAAACAACTTTTCTTGACTAATTTGAATGCTATTTTAAAAATATGTATATACTATATAAACATGGAAGAAAAAAATATGGTTAACAGTATCTCATATTTCCTCTAGGCTCATAGGAGGGAGATTCTTATTTCTTTACATTCAAATTACTCATAGTTCATATTTAGTAATTGTATAATTATAAATAATATACATCATATTTAGAGTAGTGCGGCTACTTAAAGGCATAGATTTAATTACTGCTATTAAGAACAAATAAACTGTTGCATGTACAATACAGGATTATTTCTGAGTTTCTTCATCTCTTCCACTACTTAGTATTAATTTGAGTGGTTTTCTAAAACTTTTAAATATCTGATACAGAAGGCTCTTAGCACTACCAAAACTTTATTTCATTCTTTGATTATTTATAATAAGCTTCAAAACTATAGTCTATTAAAACAGTGATTTTAATTAAAATTGTATTTTATTTAAAATTACTTCAGGGAAGAATCAAAAATTTCAATGCTTCAATTTTACTTTTATGTCTCAGTAAAGTCTTCTAGCTATTTTCATACAAGGTTAGGTATATCTTGCAAGAACTTACAGGTTTTACAAATTCATTGCCAATCTGAAAGGTATTTTGTTCAATTATGTTATTTTATTTGTTGACATATAGGAAAGACATATTTTAAAGTATTTTAAACTAGTTAACTCATTGAACAATTTTATTAACATAAGTAGCTTTTTAGTTACCTGAATTTTGATATCATAGAAATACTACTGTGTTTTTTTCTTTTTCATTAAGAATTAAATCTCTCATTTCATATCTTATTGAATTCATGAGACTTCCTGAGCAATATTACAAATTAGGAAGACAGCAGATAATTTTGCATTGTATCTTACACTAAAATTTCATCAGTAACTATTTTGTTTGGTATAAGATGGACATGTTGTTTAAAAAATTAAGGAGGCATATTTCTAATATTACCTTGCTACATTAAATGTTTTCATAAATATATTAACATTTACTGAGACAAGCATATAATTTTTAATAATCATGGAGATTACTGTATTTTCCTGTCATTATACAACTTCTGAACTATAAAAATAAATTATGCTAGATAATAGTATATTATCCTTTTACTATACTGTTGATTCTGTTTGGTGGTATTTGATCAAGGATTTTGGTTCACATTTACATAAATAAGATTATTATATAAGATTTCATCTCATTCTTAGTTACATAGCATTCTTATGATGCTTCCATACAAAGAAGTAAATATTGCAAATCTGAACAGTAATCCCTTGAATATGACAATTTCTGGCTCACATTATTTTATGTTTTCTAAAACACAATAGAGATTAGACATACAAATGATCTATCAACTCTGGCTGCGCATGACTTCTGCTTTTTTATTTAAAAAACAATAATAATAAAAAAATAAAAGAGCTGGATGCAGTGGTTCAATATTGTAATCCCAAGGGCTTGGGAGGCCCAGGCAAGAGGATCAAAAGTTCAAGGCCAACCTCAGTAACTCAGCAAGGCCCTACACAAATTAATGAGATCCTGTCTCTAAATAAATAAATAAATAAATAAAAATATAAAGATGAGATTTCAACATCACTGTGGACATTAAGGACACAGAATATACCTAAATAAAATTTAATTTATAAGTATTATACAGAACACAAGCTGTATAAACACAATAATAGAAATAAGGTAGAATAATGTTAGACTTCCAGACTTATTAATTTATGTCTTTATTGCACACCATTGGTAAAAATATAGTTACTGAAAAAATTAAATCAACTACATTGCAATTACCGAAAAAGGGATCCATATTAGTATCATACCCAGGTTGAGAAAGGAAATAATGATACTACATAGTTATGTTGACTAGATATCATTTAAGGTAAGGTCTGCCTCCTCCTGGTTTTGAAAAATAATTTAATAATGTTTTCCTGATACATAAGAAAAATCCAACATCAGAAAAATAAAATCAGCTATAATTCTACCTTTCAGAGTTAACAGTAAAATACTGGAAAGTTATATATGCTTTTCAATATAGTTTTGCTATGTTTATGTATATTTTTGTAAACAAATGAAACAATATTACTCACAGTATAGACAACCAAAAAACTATCTGAACAAGTATGTATCTACAATCCATTTTATAGTCTGAGAGCATTCTATTACATATAAATAGTTCATACAATTTAATTCTCTACTGTTACTGAACTTTTCCCTAAGTTTTGGTACTATAAGACAAATATTCTTTTAAATTTCCTCTGTACACATTTAAAATCAGTTCTTTAAAATAAATTCATGAAAATAAAATTGTTGCATCAAAAGGTACACAAAGACTTTTAGGCTTATATAAAAATTGTCTAAGATTTACTAATTTAATTTCTTACATTTACTTTTTAATACCATATTTTAAAAGTTACTTGAAAGTTCCTTTTACTTACTTGAAAAACTTATCTATTAGAGTAAGATACAAGAACACACTATTTTTTAAGAGAAAAAAATATAGATCATCAGCCACAAAATTTAATGCAAAATTTAAGAATTTTCTAACAGGACAGCAGTAAAAATATGCTCTCTGCCCAAAGGTATATTCCTTGTCATTGAAAATATTTAATAATTACAAACTGCCCTGGTTAAAGATATCACATTGGCCACAGAGCATGACTTCTATCTTTGAATGATTTTATGTTGCTTTAGCTTCAGCTTTGTCATATTTGACGTGATCAACTTTCCTTATAGTATGCGACTTTCCTTATAGTATTCTGTGTATATAAAGATTCTATTTTCAATTTCTAACCCTTCATATTTTATTTAATAATTTCTGTTTTTCACTGTCCCTTAATATGAGTGTTTCAGTCAGCTTTTTATCACTGTGACCAAAATACCTGACAAGAACAGCTTACAGGAGGAAAAGTTTATTTGGGGCTCATGGTTCAAAATTCTTAGTCCATAGATTGACAACTCCTGGCCCCAGAATAATGGAGTCAGCCATCTATACACTGAGACCTCTGAAACCATGAGCCCCACAAACACTTTTCCTCCTTTAAGTTGTTCTCGTTACCCAAAGAACATGTATGAAGACAACGATTGGTGTCAATATACTTTATATACAACCAGAGATATGAAAAAATGTGCTGTATATGTGTAGTAAGAATTGTAATGCATTCTGTTGTCATTTATTTTTTTAAAAATCAATAAAAAAGCTAACTAAAACAATGGACACGCTTAATGATAATAACACTAAACCCTAAGATTGTCCAAGTGATACAACATTCCACAATTCTTTGCCCTATAATTGCAGAGAACAGAGAAAAAAAAAAAAAAAAAACATGGTGAAAGCAATGTTGTTCAAATGCCCAAGAAAGAAAAATAGCAGATCATTCCTCCAAAATTATTCAAGAGCTAAACAAGGATAGCTATTTAGCTAGAAAACAGCTAAACAGCTAAATAGAAAACAGGTCTATTACTACTAAAATAATAAATAAATATGCCATAAATCATATTGTATTTAAAATACAGATCTGATAATAATATTTTTCTCTGGAAGGAAAATATTAAAGAAGTAAGTGTAGATAGCATGAATATTTAGGCTTATCAAAAAAGTTAAATTTTAAGTACTTAGTAGAGTGTAAACTTATTCCATATGAATGCTAAAAGTGTTTCATTAATTCAAATATGGTAATAACTTATAATTTCAAGTATTTAAATGTACCTTTAGAAGATATGAAGCTCCATCCACTTCTGCTTTGCCCACAAGCTGACAAGTCAGGTCAAAATACTGCATAGGCTGAACATCACACAACTGTACTAACATGGAAGAAGGCGAAATATGTGTAGATGCCCATACCCGTAGTGCTTCTACCATTTTGTGGTCCTCAGCAGTGAAATTAAAACATTTGCTTGAAGTACGAGGTATGACAGGAGCTCCCAAGGTTCCTTCAAATGTCAAAGATGCAAACCCAGAGCTGGTGATACCCTGAGGCTCATTTTTATATATCTGAATCTAAGAAAATAGGGCAAAGTAGAAAACAGATACTAACAAAATAGTTTATCAACCACAACTCAGGAGCTAAAGAAACGTGAAAGATTATAAATTTTTCCAGCATAATTAACTCAAGTATGTAATTCTTTAATATTTTTCATTGAACTAACATGAAATGTAAATTCAACTGGTATTATATCAATATACATAAGTTATCATATAAAATTCTACAAGACTGTACAAACATATTTACATTTTCAAAGAGGTAGTCATTGACTACCAAGTTTTCATTCATTATTTTTACTAAGATATAATTTACACAAGGAAAAAAGGGATAATAAGTGACAGTTATTAATGACAGATTAAAAGCTGGAATACTTAAAAGATGAGTGTGTGCTGTCAATAAATGCATTTTAGGCTACTTTACTCACTGTGATTGAGAGAACTGACCATCCATGAGCATTTTTTTTGCTTTCTGAATTTGGGGGCTCATTTACTAGATATATAATTGTTATATATTCTTCACAAAGTGACATTTTTGTCCTTATAAAATGCTCCCTTTCTCTTTAAAAAAAATCTTTTTAATAATATATGCTTGATGGTGTAGTTATTTCATTTTCTGTATGACTACTGCTTGCTTGGATATTTTTTCCTGTAGTTTTAGTTTCGATTAAATTGTGTCTTTATATTTTAAGTATGTTTTGTAGGTCATATACAGTTTTTAAATTTTCATTCAGTTGATCCTTTCCTTGTAACTGTACTGTTCATTCTATTTACATCAATGTAATTATCACTATGGTTGTACTTTGTTATCTTGTTATTTGTTTTTCTTTTGTTCTTTGATGTTTGCTTTTTAAAAACTGCTTCATTGGTACCATTGTTCCATATATTGGATATTTCAATTCTCTTTCAGCTGATTTCATACTTCATTTTGGTTTCTACACTGGTTTCAGAGTAATTTGTTCAGGTGTCTTTTATTTTCATGTACCTTGCATTAAGTGCATTTAAGTCAATGTTATTCATCAAATTTGGAAAAGTTTTGTCCTTATTTCTAAAAAATATTTTCCCCATCCACATTCTTTTCTGTTGCTTCTCAAATTGTATAATGCAACATTTGATATTCTTCCAAAAATCCCTTAGGGTATATTCATTTTTACTTAATCCTTTTTCCTTCAGATTAGGTAATTTCTTTAGATCTATCTGAAAATTAACTTGATATATCTAATCTGCTCATTAGCCTGTCCATTAGATTTTTCATTTTATTTGCTGTTCTTTTCAACTACTGAATTTCTATTAGGCTTTTAAAAACAGTTCCCATTTCTCTGCTGTAATTTGATTTGTCATTCATTTACATTTTCATTTGCTAAAAATTTTTTTCTTAATATTTTGTATTTTATATATTATATAAATATATATTTTTAAGTTTTAATTCAAAAAAATCCAACATCTGGGCCAAGGAATCTGTTTAGAATGTCTTTTTCCTCCCTTGCCTCTGGGTAATATTTTCCTATATTCTTATTTAGTATTCTTTTTTCCTTTGGTAGACACTGTAAGAATCTGAATTGTGTTACCTCTTCATGGTCACTTATTTGATGGCTAAACACCTTAAATCCAGGAATACCTGGTTTTATGCCTTGTTATACACAATCTATGGAAACCCCATGGTGTATTCCAAAGTCTTTCTATCTTGGTGGGACTCACTTGCAACATGTCTTCTTTGTAGATCTTCTTTCAGGTTTTGACAAAATATGTTGTAGTAGGCCTTACTCTAGGATGTTTCCCTTTATGAGGAAGGGCTTTAGGTTTTCTCAGCTGAATGTCAAAGGTGTAAAAGAGGTATTATCAAGGTTATTTATCCCTAAGTAGGCTGAACTGCAGCATCCCCAATGCTAGACCTCTAATATCTATTTCATGTTCAACCATAATTCTGTCAGAGAGCAACTCTTGTAATCCTTAAGTATTCTTGTCCTTTCCATGTACAGCACAGCTTTCAGTCAAGAATTCATGGACACCAACCCCTTCCCTAACACTAATAGACTTCTTGACATCCCCCTATAAATAGTTCTTTCCTCTCTGGTACCTCATCTTAAAGATCCAAGTTCTTTTAGCTGTCTTGAATTTTGGCCTAGTTTCCTTATCTTAGTAGGACAACAGGTTACATTCCAGCTTGCCATGCAATTGTTGAGAAACTGTACCCAGATAGAGATGTGGTGATCATGTGGCTCATCTCCTAAGTCTCTTTTCTCTATCTGATCAGATAGCTATTGTCCAATGTGTGAAAACAGTTGCTTCACCTTTGTACAGTGGGAAAAAAATGCTCACAATCCATATACTTTGACTAAAAAGATCTACAATCTTTATATATAAGGAACTTCCACAATAAGATAAGAAAGGGAAATAAAAATCCCATAGAAAAGAAAATACATAAAAAATGGCTATTTCATATTTTGGAAGATACATGAATTCAAAAATGTTCTTGACTTCATAAATATTCACAAAAATTCAAGTTAAAACCATGAGATACTAATATAAACCCAACAATACATTTTAAAAGGAAAGTATGAAGAGTTTGTGAAATGTGGAACAACCAGAACTTTCATATGCTGTTAGTGACAATGTAAAGTGGTAGCAATCACTTTGAAAAACTTAGGGTGAACATAAAAGTACATCTTAAGGCACTAGTAACCACACTTGCTAGTATAAACCTAACTAAAATATATGTGTGTATAGAGGTATGTGCTTGAACATATGTTTATATTAACTAAAAGCTATACTAAAGAGTCCATAACAATAATTATAATTTCCACAATCTGGAAATCACCTAAACATTTAGAAACAACAGAATGAATATAAAAATTGTGATGCGTTCACATAGGAAAGTACCATTTATCAATGAAAACGAACAAAACCATGTAAGCAATATGGATGAAACACACAATCATGAGTAGACATTTAAAACATAAAACCAAAACCATATAGTGTCTAGCCACATTATAAAGGGAATACAAAGAACATACACAAATAAAACTAGTATGATATTAGAAATCATAGCATTGACTCAGGCCTGGTGGCATATGCCTATAATCCGATCTACTCAGGAGGTTGAGTAGAAGGACTGCCTGAGCCCAGGAATTTGAGGCTAGCCTGGACAACATAGCAAGAGCTCTGTCTCAAAAATTAAGTAAATAAATAAGTTAATTTATTATGATTGTTACTCCTGTCCTTTACCAAAATTTTCATATCATGAATCTATATTTGAAAGTAAGAACACAGAATGGGCTTAGTGTGAATCTGAACAACTAATATATTTCTGAGGAAGAAGAATTGGAAATTCATTTAAATGAAGTGATATCACACTATATATTATTTGGAGTCTGATACTATTTACATTTCTTCTTCTGAAACACCTGATATCATGCTCTAAACAAAGCAACTACACAAGTAGTGCTAACTAGCTTCAGTGAATGGCAGCGTTCTCATCAAAAGAATGTAAGTTATAAAAAGTATGACTTATACCTTAAGCCTGTGAAAGCGAACAATGTCTCCAATTTTATAAATTATTGGAAGGGCTTCATAGTTTCCACTAAAAAACAGGCAAGTTAACTTTACATTTGTCTGATCCACAATTGTTACCACCGAACAATAATCTGGAAAACACAAAAATATTGGCCTAACTTTTAGTATTTCAAAGCATTTGATGAAATAAGATTATGCTTACTTCAAAATGCCATACTTTATTACTTAAATTTTTAAAGAAAATGATGAAATATGAAGACATTTTCTTGGTTTTCAGTATGCCTTGTCAAACTAATCTGTAAAAGTGTTCCACAAAAATTACTTTAGAAACTGTAGTAAAACAAAATTAAAGACTCAATTAATTTTTCTGGAGAGACAGTATCTTCTTCTATTACTCCAAAGTTTAAAAATCATAAAGTTGATGAACATAGTCAAATAAACAAAGTATAATTCATAAAGTAAGCACATTTAAGTTTAGAATAAAAAGAGTATATTTGCACCAAATATGATGAAGTCATATTGTAACTACATAAAAATGCTATATATTGACTGCAGTGCCAGGGATCAAACTCAGGGCTTCATGCATACTAGGAAAGCACTCTACCACTGAGCTGTCCTTGCCCCCCCCCCCCAATTATTTTAAAAACTAGAATTTTACAGTAAATGTACAAAAAAATAAATGATTCGTAGAAAACAGTTTTTTGATAACAAAGAAGTAAAGATATACCTGAGAGATTGGAGGACTATGGGTACTGAAGAGCAATAACAATGAATAAAAGCAAAGAACAAGGAATGAAAGTTAAGTATATTATTTAAAATCAAAGAGCATTGATAAGGAAAAAGTGAATAATAAAAATCTAGAAGGAATAACATTTTCCAGAGTAAAAGGATTTCAATAATCTACAAGCAAAGGCAGCAGAACACAACAGACACTAGTATGGCAATATGTAAATCAATGGATGTGTAACTGATGTGATTCTGCAATCTGTATATGGGGTAAAAATGGGAGTTCATAACCCAAGTGAATCAAAGTGTGAAATATGATATATCAAGAACTATGTAATGTTTTGAACAACCAACAATAAAAAATTAAAAAAAAATCTACAAGCATTTCCCTCTGATAATAATTGCTTGATAAATTAAACTACATAGTCATACTTTAATAATTGTTTCTCAACTCATAAGTAAATCCTAGGTATAAACAAATATGGCAGGAGCTCAAGTTGGGTGGAAAGTAAATACAGAAGTTAACAACACATTGGTCAGTGCTCTTATCATAAATCTAACAGCTTTGGAAATTACAGATCAAGTCTGAAAAAGAAGTGTATCTTAGACTACTGAAAGTTGAAACAGATATCAGAACAAATCAGTCATCATAAAAGACAGATATGGGAGAAAAAAATGACCTGCCAGTATAGAAGATCAATAAGAAAATTTGTCCAAATATGCCATGGTTTGGAAATGAGAAAAAAATAATAGGCTAACTAATAGGTAAACTTCCTGCTGAAGAGCAAGAATTAAAAAAAAAAAAAATACAATAAACCTAAAGGAAATAGGATACAGTAGTAATTTCAAAGAGAAAAAAAATTAATTTTCCAGCAATATTAGTTTTTAGCAATAAACAAAAATATTATTTATTACTCTTCTATATTTGCAACTCACCTAAGTTAATTCCTATTATGTAAATTAAAAAGTTTTATCAGAAAACAAATCCTTTACCTACAATTCATCCACTGTTCTTCCACACAACGTATCACTAATATTGCCTCATGTCTAACAAATATGATTTAATACAGGATTTTTGGTAAGACCTTCCAATGTTTCTCTAAGCACTACACAGGTTGTTAACTTTGCAACTGGATTCACATGCATATGACCATGCTACCTACCACCTGTCCTGCTTGTGAATATTACCTCTGTAATTTTGGTCCCATTTTCCACAACAGTGATATAATTTACCAATTTCATAGTGAAATGCACAGCTGGTTTGCCAGAAAATAACAACATACTTTGAATAAAACACAATTAGATTGAAAGTTTTAAGTTCCTTAATATTTTATGACAGATAAAACATAAGGGCAGAGATCACTATTCTAACAAAATCTGGCACAACTCATGGTACATGTCATTAAACTTAGTCCTTTTACATTTTTGTTTCTTGGCAGCCTTTATAAAGCACATAGCTGATTCACTTGTAACAGAACACAAAAACTCGCATTTCATATTTGTACCTAGTCACTACTTGCATTTATGTCATTTTAACCTGCAGCAATTCTACATTACTCCTCTCACTTTAAATGCTCTGAAATGATCCATTTTTATATACTGGGGATATAATGCAAAAGCAAAACTGCAAATTCATGGCATAAATAGTTGAATTTGAATGTTAGCCAAGATGAACAAAATCCAGTCCTTGTAGTACTAAGATGATATTGAAGAATGTAATAGCTGTAGGGGACGGGGGAGTACGGAGTTTTTGATTTTTTAAAATCAGGCTTAATCTAAATTTTAAGACTAAAAAAGTTTTACCCCCGTCCCCCTGCTCCCAGGAAATGTCAACCTTCAAAAGATGAGTTGATGGATTGAAAGACTCTGGGTAATATTTTGGTAAACACTGATGTAGGCCCATTATCTAAGTAGTCTTTACAGGATCATCACTAGTTTTGTAGTGCTTTGTGCAAAACTTAATAGACTCCCCTTTTTCAAAAGTACTGATGATCCTCATCAATTTTACAAAGAAACTTTATTGACTCCAAGAGAGCAGTTTTGGCTACTCACCCATATGCACTCCTATCTGATCTCACATGCATACCCAGAAACGGTGATAAAAAGGACAAATTCTTTCCTCACCACCACTTCCCTAGAAGTGACTGTGCCAGGTTAAAGGTCTGTGCGGGATTGGACAGCTAGGAGAAAGAGAAACACCTCAAAGGATGCCCAAAGTACACACACAACTGTTGTGTGTGCAAGGAGTATTGTGTCTGCATGCTCAGAAATCTGAGTATGTAAATAAGATGGCTGAGGATCTAGGTTTATGCAAGAGAGGACACTCCTCAGTTCAATCAAGTCTTGGCTGTAAACCCTGAAATATCTTTTACCTAAACAACTCTATTACCTGGATGGAGCACACACCTCTACCAATAGCACGCTAAGTCCGTGGTCCTAACTTTCACTTGACCCATGTTTTCTCCTTTGGAAGTACTACTACCTGTGACTTTTGGCAAATGTAAACCAAAGAGACTCACCATGTGCTCAAGGAAGAAAGGGAAGTAGGCAAGCAAGGAGGAAAGGAAGGAAGGAAAAAGATATTTCTATAGAGTAAGAGCTTCCTTGAAAGCAAAATACACACACACATACACGCACACACACGTAAATAAGAATTCGTAGGCATGACTTTCTTAATTCAATACAAAGGATGGGGAAGAGTGGATGATATGCAACAGTTGAATCACCTGAAATACTATTTTAACAGAATGACTTCCCTTGCAGTTTGAATAAATCTGCCCCAAATGTAAATGTCCTTCAGGATTTTCCTCTATTATCCTATATCATTAAAATCTTTTTTGTTGGTTAATATTTTGTATTGCAGTAGTGGTAATCCCTTAGCTTTTGCTTTACAGTTTTCCAGACCCCATTTTTTTTTAATTAGTACATAAGCAAAGTGAATAGCAGATTCACTCATTATTTTATGTCACACATAACCATAGTTCATAGAGAGTACTAAGTGAGTGAGACACGGTCCTGCCTCCCATGAAGTTTACTTTATTGATTTCCTTGTACTGATTTTACATTTTTATAAACTAATGTTACAATCTTAGTTTTTATAATATTTTATGCCCCTATTTGCTACTGTAGAGTTTACATTCTCTATATAGGTAATGACTCATCATGGTAAAGGCAGAATTAATGATGTACATGACATTTTCCAGAATAAATGGAAATACACATTTAAAGTTGATGAACAGTCAGTATTAAGATGGTCCCAGAGTCTTGCTGAGCATTACTTTATTTATTTTATTTTATTCATTCATTCATTCACTCATTCATTCATTTATTTGAGAGAGAGAGAGAGAGAGAGAGAGAGAGAGAGAGAATTTTTTAATATTTATTTTTTTGTTTTCGGTGGACACATCTTTATTTTATTTTATTTTTTATGTGGTGCTGAGGATCAAACCCAGCGCCCCGCACAGGCCAGGCGAGCGCGCCACCGCTTAAGCCACATCCCCAGCCCTGAGTATTACTTTAAATATTCACATTTTAGAAAAGTGGCAAAAACAAAAGTTTTTATAAATATTAGATACAACCCTGCAGTTCAAAATGTCAGGCAGTAGAAAAGACCTCAAATTAAATTTCTAGATATGATTCAAGTTCAACCAAAGGGTCAGAAATTAAGTCTATCACGGAAGTTAACTATTATTAATAATTAATTATTTTGTCATTTTTATAACTAATACTTGTCAATGTTCTGATTTATATAGAGCTGAATAAAGCATTCTACTGAAAATATAGTTTCTCTGTTAAAGTACTTTCTTCCTAGGTCTTTAATAGGAAGAAAGCTGCATTACTTAATGGTCAATAATACTGAAGGATTACTATACACCAGGCAATATGGTAAGCTCTGTGTGTTTGTGTGTGTGTGTGTATACATACATAACACACATATATGTGTGCAGGCACATATTTATACATGTGTCTAAACATACACACATATGTACACTCACATATCCATACACATACCTCCTTAAATTTTTTTGACTTCTGGAAATTTTATTATTTTGTCTTTCACATACAGACTTGTTATTTACCAGGAATTAATTTTCATGTTTGATAGGAGGTAGTGATTCAGTTTCATTTATTTCAAATGGTCACAACTGAATTCGTATATACTTGAATATACCAGAAATTATTCTTCCAGCTTTAAAACAAGGGAACTTCTTGTGACTGGGGTTGTGGCTCAGTGGTAGAGCTCTTGCCTAGGACATGCAAGGCCAGGAGTTCGATCCTTAGCACCACATAAAAATAAATAAAGGTATTGTGTCCAATTACAACTAAAAAAAAATATATATATATATTATATATATATAAAACAAGGGAACTTCTTAAAAAGGTTAGTCAAGCTATCCAAGTTCTA